TATAGAGGCACTTCAAATTATTTTAAATATTAATAACGATATTAAACACTTAGCTAATAGAGTTGCCCGATAGTGGCAGATTGGCCGAGACAGTTGTTTATTCGCAAAGCAATAACAAATTTGCATAAAGCGAATTTACAATATCATATACTACCTGAGATTAATTCTTTAATCCCGATTATTGGGCCTCTTCATATCTCCCTAAATAGTAGAGAGTAAGTGTTAATAACTTATTATTCTTTTTTTGAAAAAATGTTTCACTTCGTATTTGGTATAAAAAAAAAGCTTGCTAAAAAACCAAAGCCGTGGAGGATTAATTTACTTCTTGACCTCACTTATAATGGATGGTGTAAAATCCGAAACTTAATTACTACAAAATTCAGTTGCTGTAAAGATATTGAATATTGTATAGTTATTGATTTGCTAGATAACGTGATTTTAACAGCTCTAGACATTTATGCTATCCTTTTCTAGTCCAGTTCATTTGACGAATACATGGAAACTGTCTTTCGGTTCTGGACATTTGCTCTTAGATGGAATCAGCGCAATTATAATAAAGCACCCTTAGTATTCTTATCTGATATCTTTTACTGGCAAGATACTAACCATCCTTTTGCTGAGGCTATAAAATTATTTTTAGTAAATTTTAATGATTACTATGTCGAAAACATGTATAATAAGATATGATCACATACCTTTGCAACTAGTAGTGTTAGTAATATAATTAAGCAGGCTTATATAATTGGTAAGTTTTTTTTTTTTTTTTTTTCTGATAAACTAATAAAATAATCAATAATATTATTAGATACACAAGCTCATTATAAACTTAAAGACACATTTGAAAAAACACGACAGTACTCCTATAAGCCACGTGAGTTAGATTTTTTTACAGAAAGAACAGCTTTATTCTTATTAGAACACTTTTGCAAACTCTTTAAAAATCGTGGAAAAAGTAAACTATGTGGAACGAATAAGTATAAAAAGAATCTATATAGGTTAATTACCTTAGAAGAGACAGTTGATGCAAAATGCCTTTCAACAGTATATAGTACTAGTATACCTCCTCGGTCAGATGTTTGTGATTATTGTCATCAAAATCTTAAAGACGGTGAAATACTGATCTGCGGCCATGGGTACTATTTCCAATGCTATCAAAAAATGGAATTTAGTTGTTGTCCTTGTAAAGAATATTACAAGCGCGGAATATATAACAATATGAAATCTTTAGTAAATAGACTAGAAAAAGGACTAAATGTCTTAACTGCTGAAGAAAAAGAAGATATGAATAATGGCGTGGAAGCTCAAGAGGAGGATCAGAATCATTCGACTACAGAAGAAATAGAATTAGATAGAATTCAAAAAGTGCATACGGCCCTTTTAAACGAAATGAATCATGTTAGTACTTGGTAATAAATCTAAACAAAATAAATTTACCAACTTAAAAAGTAAATACTTATACTATACAATTACTGACTTTTGGTTGTCTTTTTATCTGACTTAAGTCTAACCGCTATATATTAAGCCAACGAAGTTATGTATTAGTATTGGTGGAAGTTCGTTAAACTCCTATTCTCACACTATAAATACTTAAAACCTAACGACTTCTTACCTTCTCATTTAGAATCCTTATCCATTGGATCCGACTAGATAACATTTAATAAATCGACGAAGTAACGTGCAAATTGTATAACCTATATAATTATACCACAAAAAATTTTTCAGTCACATGACTTTATTGTGGCGCAAACCAATAATCAGGTATAACGTAAAAATTACATTTTTTAGTGATTTTTTATAAAAAATCACTAAAAACTCTAAAATTTGTCTATGAAATCGTCTTCTGCATATTAACAAAAAAAATTTCTTGCAAATTTTTGATAATAGCAATGCTTTAACAAAGTGTCTAACCCAAACCTTAACTCT